TTGTCCTCTGGTAAAATATCCGTTTGCAACGTGTAATGGCAGATTCATTATTACAGGAAATACTACGGTCATACCTTGTTTTTTTTGTCTAGCGCCATTCTCTTTGGTTAGTGCCCTAAAATAAGAGCGGCAAAGGCATGAAAAGTGATAAGGTGGACCTAAGAGGTGCCGTGAGGATTTGCTGGATAAAACAGCGTTGTTACTCTAGGCGGTTTTAGCACTATTCGGTAATGTGAGCCAGGTACTCGCCTTGATCGTACCCCCTGTAACAGCCCTGCTAGTATCGTTATACACCTGAAGTGCCCTTGTTCCCACCAATACAGCCCTTGTCAAGCGAGGCGCTAACAAAAAAACAAGGGAGTTGATTGTAAGTCCACGCTACAACCTAATGTTCACTAGCAGAGAAGAAGAAAGATCAGCAAAAAGTGACCCAGCGCAGGTCAGGACCCAGGCTTGTGATCAACACCTTGGAGAAGCTTGTCTCCCGTTTCGAGTCAGGATGAAAGATCTTTGCAGCTGTGAATAGCCTCGTGCGTCCATGATGATGTCACCACCGCCTTTGCGAGAAGTCGAAGTTGCTCCAATTCCTGGAGAAAACAGCTGTGAGAAAGATCACTCTTCCTCCACCGTCTCGGTCTTCCCTCTCCAGCATCTCGCTCTCTCGCGCGACGACAGTCAAAGTATGGACATCGGATCGGGTCAGGTGGTTAGAAACTCCTGGAAAGTTTGAATGCAAGTTGCGCCGAAATAATGAGCCTCACTGGCGACAGCCGCATATCCAATAGCCGTCAAGCCGCCTCCCAGAAAGAGATCGGCGTCTGCCCCAAGGGTCATTTGACCTCCAACAAGTACCTTTTCGCTACCTCATTTGCCCCAGGATCTTCCCGTTCACGAATCGTACTTGCTTTTGCTCAAGGCCAACTTACCTCCAATATGCAGACCTTCACTGGGCAGTCCGTATCAGCAACAACGTCTCCACAATATTTCAGTCATTGTGACAGCGGTACCCAACCGCCAATCTAGCCTGCAAGTCACCAGTTCAGGGGCACAATGAGCGATTGCGATCGTTCAAACCAAATTGTGCGAATACCCTGAATATCGTTGCCAACTCATCAGTCACGGGTCACTTGACAATTTCCTGCACCTCTGGAAGAAAACCCTCATGTCCAGGTTTGCCTTGCTTCGAGGACTAAGTCGCCTCGCTTGTGCGGACCTCCGGTCCACCCAGACCAGTTGGCCCCCATCATTCGTTTGACAAGGCGCTTCTCTGTTGGACAACACTTGTGATTTACTGTCGACCGGTGATACACAACTCAGGCTCAGGCTCTCTTAGCCAAATAGCAGGACCACTCTGAGTGACCTTGCTTGTCCCTGCTGATGTATTCGCTGTCCATGGGCGCATTATTGGCCGACTTATGGCACCCGCAACCACTCTAATGCAGTACAGGCCAGGCAGATTTCCAAGTCTGCGCGCAGCGACATACCAGCATGAAACGATGGACGTGCTTACCATCAGCTGCTTACGCACACCGTACATTCATGGTCTGGAAGTCCTGGTCACTGCCTCTATCGACTTCATAATTGCGGAGACGATTTCTCGAATTTTGACTCGGAGCAATCTCACCACAGTCAAACAACCTGTGTCCTACTGCATGAGGGTATATTAGCTTGACCTTTGATTCCAGATCAATGTGATGTGTCGAGATTGAACCTCAGTGATCGAGCGGTACTTCTTGCTCTCACTTTGATGCTATGTGCACAGCCTGCCTCAGACAGCCCTCAGTCATTTCGGAATACGCTCAAGTGAGACAGATTTTCCGCCACAACTGAGAGCGGTATATGCTGTGCGCGATCTCAACACGGTGTAATCCTTCATGTTGAATCGTCGTCCGGAGTTCGAACGGGAGTTGACTGAGGGCCGACTTTGACGGCGGAGGCGCAAGGACAAGGCTGAATGGCAATAGGAGTCTTCAATTATGCGGTTCACGTGACCACGAGGCTTCCTTGGCAGCGACTTTCTTGCCCTGACTTCAGTTGTAGAACAACCTTTCACCATACTAATCCGCACGCTTCGCACCAGAGATCAGCAGCTGTAAGCGTGCCATCAAATCGATTCCCTGACCAGTGTCTCATCTCCTCATTGCATTTGAGCGACGTTTTCCCCAAAGCATAGCCTTAACGATGTCAAATCCTACTATTGGCGATGCTATGAGTCAACCTGATCCATCGCCACAACAGGTCTCAACTTGTTCAACTGCAGGTCCAGCAAAGGCGCAAACCAGAGTATGTCGTTTCTACAATACGTCAAAAGGTGAGGTCCCTCCATGTGCGGCTCAGTCACCACTTTCATTCCTTGTCGGCTCTGTGTGCACTACCCCAAACTACCAGGTGTGCCACGAGCATTTGCGTTCCAGGCTCATGTTCCAACCACGATGCTGTACATTGATTCGTCCATCTACGGTGATATTGTGCTCATGATACCAACTGCTAATCCTTGCGGCCATGGATAGGCTGTCGTGCCGGATCTCAATGCCCTTTTCGCCACGTGCAACCCAAAGAACTATCCAAGTCTACTAAACAGCCAGACAATGGTGGACGACCAGAAGGCTCAAGCACTCCTTCTGCTGCAACAAGCTCGAATCTTCCTCAACGGCTCAAGTCCACCGCCCGAGCACCAGTCCCTCACCAAAAGCCAGTCTCACAGCTTCAACAAGCCGATCCACGCGAGTTTCAGATTGGACAGCTCATGCGGAGGTATTCACCCACCCGCAAAGATTCGAACGATGGTACCCTCATCTCCTTTATTTTGACACCATCAGACCCAGACTTTCCTTTTGAGCTCGAAGGACTCCATTGTACCATGACCATTCCCACTTCGTGGCCCCAAGGAGATAAGCCGTCCATACGAGTTACAAACACTGAGATGCCACGAGGCTATCAAATCAACGTGGAAAGGGGTTTTGACACACTGATCGCTCAATCACCGCACAAAACGCTACTGGCTTTGATGAACGAGTTGGACAGAAATCTCGAGAGATTCTTGACTTCGGAAAAGGCTCAGACCATCAAAATCGTGGCGAATACTGAAAAGAGAGAGGAGTCCTCCGAGCCTATACCAGAGATAGTGCCCTTTGTTGCACCAATGACTGCACCCGCTCCACCGCCCCCGTCCTGGACCGCGCAGCAAAAGGCTGATGCTCAAACGAAGAGGCAATCTGATATCCGGCAACTCGAAGCTCGTATGGGCCGATTGCCGAATTTCTCCAAAAATACTGATGCCACTCTCTTCAATATTCCGGTACAAATTCCAAAGCCTGGTAGATTGCCCGCAGATCTGCAACCGCTCAAAGAAGTTGCGCTGAGGGTACCCAAGTTGTACAATTTGGAGCCCTGCACCGTGCAGCTGAAAGGGATTGGTGGTTCAGAGGCGGAAAATGTTCAATTCTCCTTTGAGAAACATGCCCGCGAGCATTCGGACTTGACACTTATGGCACATATCAACCATCTGATCCAGAATATACATGCCATGGCTTTGGAAGGGCCAGAGAAAGCCGCGACTCCGCCACCACCCGTGGAGGCTCCTCAGTCCAACTTCGAGCAAGCTATTATCGCTGGTGTAGATGAAGATGGGAAAGAGGAGGGCAGGATTTTGGACGAAGAACGTCCTCATGTGAGGGTCATATCGCGGCCGCCTGAATGGGATCAACGTGATGACTCGGACGGATCCTCAGATACATCATTCGACTCAGACGAGTACACAGACTCGGAAAGTGAGGACGAAGAAAATGAGACCAACGACGGCGGTGGTGCCGCCCTGCCCGCCACGTCAGCCCCAGCTGACAAGGGCATCCATCTCTCCTTTCCCGAATTGGAGCTTTACAACATCGAACTCTTGACGCTGATATCACTATCGATCTCAGTCAAGTGTCTCCGGTGCAAGACACCTCTTGACATCCACAACATCAAAGCAAGTAATCAAGGGCAATCGACTGTGAGCACACGTACAGAATCCTGCCCAAAGTGCACCACTCCGTTCACTGTCTCCTTTGCGCCGGAGCATTTGCACGCCAATAGCGTCCGCGCTGGCACTGTCGATATCACCGGCTGCACTATCACCGACCTCTTGCCCAGCGTCTTCCAGCCTACCTGCTCGTCATGCTCGGCGACTTTCCCAGTCCCGCCAGGCATGATCTCGGTACGCAGTGATAAGCCCATTCAAGTCTGCCGCTCGTGCCACGCCAAAATGAGCTTCACAATCCCCGGGGTGAAGTTCCTACGAGTATCACACCATGCTGCTGCTCTTCCTCTGCGTCGTCCCAAGAAGGAGAACCTCGGCATCTCGGCTGGCACGCCATTACCAAACAAGGGTACCTGTCAGCACTACAGGCATAGTTACCGCTGGTTTCGATTCGGGTGCTGTGGGAGAGTGTATCCTTGCGATCGGTGCCACGATGCCGCTGAGTCCCACGTGAACGAGCATGCTGACCGCATGGTTTGTGGATGGTGCAGTCGCGAGCAACGGTTTCGATCGGAGGATTGTGCACTTTGCGGAAGGAGTGTAATTCGGCGGCGCAGGGCTGCCGGCGGGTTTTGGGAGGGCGGTCAAGGCACGCGGGAGAAGAGGTTGATGAGCAGGAAGGACAAGCATAAGTACAAGCGTACTCCGGGGAGTGTGCCGGGGAAGAAGGCGGATGGGAAGTAGGTGACAGCGAGTAAACTCTCACATTGCCTGCACCAGACAGGCAACCCATAGGCCTTGTATAGCTGCGTTCAAAAGCTCAGCTGGTTCATCATGCAGGCTCCCGTCTTCCCTACAGCATGCCCACCTTGCTAGGCATGCATCCTGTACATTCGGTGGTGTCAGTGCAAACATGCACCGTGGCTAGCTGCGCACCGTGAGGCTTTCACCTTCACTTCACTTCAGAGTTGGCGAACTTGCACTGGCTAAACTGCCTGAGTGATATGTATCAGACACTCCGAAATCTGTCAACAATCACCTCGCCGGCGTAGTGCAGTGGTCAGCACGTTTCGTTGTGGGGAAACCAGAGCGGTAGTTTATGAGGAAAAGCTGAAAAGCTTGCTCTATTCTACGAGTCTGGGACCTGACGACCGAAGAAACCTTAGTTCAAATCTGAGCGCCGGCATCATCTTTTTGCTCTTCTCCACGATTTGTGTACTATTGCTCCTCGTCGTCATGGTTGTAGCTATCGCGCTGGGTGCGCAAGGCTGGCACTCCTTAATGGGCCGTGGTATTGCCGAATTTACATTCCATATATGACTAAATTTGCCGACTTGAACCACTACCATTTACACCATTTCGAAGCGTAGCAGAGCAAGCAGGTTTTTTTTTTTGTTTTTGGATGTGTTTGATTGCTATCTAAGCTGCCACGCAGCGTGTGTGCGACCTGGCGCAACGTGCATAAAACTCATGCTTCTCTGGTCGCCTTGTCATCTTAATCAAACACTAGTGCCACACAGCTCTGCAACCCCGGCGCAACATGCATAAAACTCATGCTTCTTTCGTCGCCCTGTCTGTCTTCTCATATCCTGCTCTCGAGAAACCCCACCCAAGCACCACGTTCCCCTAATGCGGAAGCTGAACACCCTCCAAACCGTGCGTCAAGTTGAAATGGCGTACCATTGACGACTTGTTCTTGATGCCCACCGAGTGAGCTGCCTTGTGGCTTGGGCAGGTCAAGCAACGCCACGGGTACTCGTCTCCAGCCACGTAGTTCCAACGAGCGGTCACCGGGCCAGCAGTGGCAGCATTGGAGGGTCCTGGAGCGACGGACGAACTGGCGGAGCCAGCATTGTTGTCGTCGTCGTCCTCTGTCGCCCAGTCCATCTCTTCCGCTCCATTGCCTCCCTCGCCCTCCTCTTCCTCATCGTTGTTGTTGTCATCGTCTGAGTCCGAGGACTCCTCACCCAGATCGCCGTCTTCAAGGCGTTTCAATGCCCACATCGCGTTGTCGACGAGGGCGAAAGCGTGGTCGGCATCGGCGGTGGTCTGGGCCTTTGCCGCCTGGGCGCCTGCTCGACGGAAACTCTCCAAGAGAGCGGCGCGGGTGTCGTCCTCCGATGCCACCGTCCTCACCTCGGTGTTGATGATTGACTCAGGAGCGACAACGACAACAACGCGCTGGGCCAACACCGCATCACTGAGGTCCACCTGCGCCTGCCACATCCTAGTGTAGAGCTCGTTGTCTATGGTGAGCGACGAGGTGAGCAACTCGTAGTTGCATGTTTGGGTGGCATTGAGGCCGGAGGAATTCTCGATCGCAGCCTTGAGCGGCTTCTCGAAGAAGTCGGCGCGAATGTATGTCTCAAAGCCTGCGTATTGGGTTGCCTTAACAATGATTTGAGCGACGCCGACCCAGTAGGCATCGCGGGCCTTTCGGAGGGAGATGTGTTGGTTCACTCTGAGCTCATCCAACGTGGTGGTGACGCCGTGGCGAGCTGCGGCAAGGAGGTTATTGTAGGCGGACATGATGGTGAGAGGATCGAGGTCGACTTGGGCGTTAGGGTTGATTGCCTGGTGGAGATCCAAACAGGCGCAAAGGGTGTTTTGAGAGTAGTTTGGAATTCTGAAAGAGATGGAAGTGTCGTCGAACAAGAGGCAGAGGAGAAGAATGTCATCGTCGAAACTGTGGGAAAGGAAAGCCGAGTCACCATGACGGTAATCTAGACCGCCCAGCTGTTGTTGTTGTGCGGTCATGTTGGGTTCGGTAGAATCATTCTCTTGGCTGGGTGAAGGTGCTGCACGTGCAGAAGCCATCTTGTTGTAGGAGATGTGGTGCTTTTGAGATGTAGTGCTTCACAAATGTGTTGACAACAATGGGAACAAGCAGTCAGGAATAGCCAGTCTTCCAAGCTGGTGAGTAGGTGCTATATATTTCTTTAGGACAAGGAAGGTTGTTGAGACTGCCTGTCGATCGAGTGTGTCAAGACGTTTGAGCCGAATTCAGGTGAGCTGATCTTGCGTGGCCGCGGATGAATTTGAGATCTGTCGGGTTTGTTGCTTCGGAAGTGAGGGCTGCTAGACTTCAAGATACGTCGAAGTTGCAGAATCTCTCTTCAACAGTTGCCTGGGGTCTTGAAGAAGAAAAGAAAGACTCGTCGTGGTCTTGTACAAGAGATTGTTGTCGAAGTTTGAATGGTGGTGCTGTTGGGTTTGAGAGAGGAAATGAAAGTAAAGAAAGAAGATCAGGATTCAGAGAGGGGTGAAAAGACTTCCTCGTCACCGAGGCGGAGCGTTGATACATTGCGGCGGTGATGTACTGAGAAGCGCTGAGGCAGGAAGTTGCATTGATTGCGCTGAGGAGCGTAGGGACGCTATAGCGGTCAGGTCCTGTGGACCGCTGGTGTCTGAACGGCGATGACATACGAGACACTTCTTCAGTGCAGCCCAGTCGGTATTCACAACGATCAAACAACACCAGCACAGAGCCCGACAGGCAGATTATCGACAAAGAGATGCAGTGTCCATGATGAGAAAGGCAGAAGCACATTCTTCCAGCCTCGCAGTACGGCGTCTCCCAAGGCACACGACAGTTGAGATCACCAGTGAAAGACGCCGTGTCCTCATGTGCGGCTATGGAACAAAGGGATCGTTCTTTGATCCTTTCGGTATGCTCCTGTCGAAAGAGCAAGGACAGAAGCAGCTGGTGCTTATCAAGTTGAAACAGAACAGCCCTAAGGAAGCACAGAAATGGTTGGCAATGCGGTCTTGTTGCGATTGAGATACCCGGAAAAGCCGCTCGATGGTGTGTTCGGGGTGGAGGATGAAGGTAGACTGGCTATTCGATCAAATGGTTCCTGAGGTCTAAATTGCCAGAGCGGAGTATCGTCCCGACCCATAACATAACAAAAGTCTAGTTGTCCATCCAAGACGTCCATCGGAGGCCTGCTAATATGGGCTCCGGGCCAGAATCAGCTCATCCGCCACAGTTTTGGTGACTTAGTTTCGAAGATGGAAGGAACAATCGACGCAACCACCATTGAGGCATCGGAGTACTACCAGCCCCGCCACCTTACCCAGACGTCGATGATCTTGTCAGGTGTTTGCATGCTTGAATCCACAATGAGGTACCACCCAAACATTGCAAGTGTGATACAAGCATGGTTGGGCCACAAGCGCAGCTTTTGTCCGTATGTCAAAGGAATCCCACGACCTGGCTTCTGGTCCTCAAAGCCCAGAATGCCATGTTCTTGACTGATCCGACTGACAATGATACGGTCTCCTTTGCCGGTTTGGTATTCTTCTGGCATATTCCAGGGACTGACGACTGCCCATCCAGGGTAATCTTTGCAGGGTTCTCGAGCCAAAGCAAGTCCTCCTGCTGAGATAAGAGCTTCCGGTTGTTCGGTGCGTGTGGGGTATATGGAGCAAACCTCAGCAATGACAGATGCAGCGATGAGATCGTGAGGGTCAGAGGCTATGTGACGACTGCTGGCAGCTACCTGTTGCATGTCGAAGATTGGATAAACTCCAGCATGGATTTCGAGCTCGAGGTTTGATCTTGTCAGCTCCAACGTGTCTTTCAGAGCAGTCGCGGAGCCGGTAGAACTCGATATCGAGGGCAGTAAGTTTTGAAGCGACAGCGCAGTAGGTGATGCGCCAACGGACACGACCAATGGTGACTGGTGCTTCGTTTTGAAGAGTTGGGAAGCTTCGCGGCATACATCTATCTCCTTTTTGAGCATGTCCATGGCATCATCAGGTGAGGAACCACCATAGCTTAGGCTGTTGTGCGAATAAAAGCCAAAGAGACGAAGAGAACCTTCTTCCTCGGCACGAGCGACCTGGTCGACGAGTACCTTCATCTCTGGCGAACCAGGACCTACCCCTGCTCGATGATAGCCTGAGTCAGTCTTGATGAAAACAGATGCGGCAAAGCCAGACATGCGTTTGAAAGCCTTCAATGAGTCCAGCTGTTCTGGATTATCAATCATTGTCGTGATAGAGCCGTCACCTAGTTGTCGGCCTACCGCGGCCAATCGATGAACGTGGGAAGGACCCAGGGGCACGCCATAGAGGATATTGACCTTCGCACCGCGTTGTTTATACTCCATCAGTAAAGGGACCAACTGTTCGGCTTCCATCACCGTTGATACAATCAAACGCACGTCCTTGCAGTCATTGCCGACTTGTAGTCTGGTGATCTCTGATGTTTTGTGAGTTTTGACATGAGCACGAAAGCTAACGCCAAATTGCTCTACAGCATCCAGCATTGCCTGGCAGTTTGTTTTCACCTTTGCCACGTCGATGACTGCTGCAGGCACAGGAATGTCGTGAAGGGATTGATCCTGGTACGACTGGAGCAAGTCATCCCTTGATGGGAAAGGGAACCCGGCAGGAGACATGGCTGTCGTGGCCTCGGATGAGTCTCTTTGGCCGTTGACTTTCTACTTCAGCTGACCTTTACAGCTGATATATCGGATTGCACGACGAAATACTCAATGAGTCAAGGAAAAGTGGCTTTAGAAAGAGGGTTTCCAGATATCGACGGGCATTGGCCTGCCGAAGATAAGCTGACCAACGTAAATTGTTCTCCCGTAATTCTGCCGGTTATTGCTTTTGGGCCTTGGCCGTCTATCAACAGTGCTTACAACTCTCAAGACAGGGAACTTGCCCGGGAACAGGTTATGCCAGCCATGTATCCCGTTCACAATACGATCTTGTGTGCAAGAAGCACGCCATCCCACCCTGTGACCTTACCGACAACTGATGACATATCTACCCGTCATACAGGCGGTATCTCGAGTGTATCGTCAATAACTCGATTTCTGCCTACGGGCAGGGTATCCCGCTGAGACATTGGATCTTGTTACACCCTGGGAAAGACGACTCCTTGTGCCGCTCTACGTGACCATACAGTATTCATATGTACGATCTCAGCTTTGTCGACACGCTGGCGACGATCCCAATAACTGTACTCCAGAGAGGTGATAGACTAACTCAACTTCGGCAGGACAGCCGACTCGCACAACTTCACCACTATTGGCAAAGTCGACTATACAACCTCACGCTTGATTGGATAAGCTAGGTCAACAACTACCTGAATTCATCAATACATTCGCGCGTTTCACCCATGATGGGGCCAACTTCACGGCACGTGCTCTGATGATTATCAATATTCATTGC